ATCGCCCTATCTAGTTAGAAATTAATCAATGGTTGAGTTATCAAAGGAAAGCGGGGGGTTAAGTTCCGATTGACAACGTGTCGGGTTCGGACATGTTTTTGCGTGCTGCGTATGTCCTTTGTCTGGACCTTTTTTTGGACTCCCTCCTCTCTTAGAGGAGTTTTGCTTATATTCTACAAACCCATAAGAAACAATGGTGTATGAGCGACTAATGCCCAACCAGCCATAAAAGAAAGAAGAAGAAGAAAAAAGGAAAGCGGGCAAAGAAAGAAAATTATTGTGTGTTGTAACTATAAACGTTTTCACACTATCACTATTCGACTTCGCAGTTTTACTAACAATCAAAGCGTCAATATTAGTATTAACAACGTATAAATTTCTTCTTTTTTTTCTTTTGACATAAGCCTGTAAATCTCTGTAAATACCTGTAAAAACCTGTTGCCCAAATGCAGTTTATAGCATGATGTAATAATATATATTGGCCGTGTTCTGATATTCTGTATGTCATATACACTATAGATTTTCAATACTGGCAGTAAATATCGGAACACGGCTATTATTACATCATGGTTTATAGCATATATAAAGCCGTTATTAGACATGAGATTATACACAATTTTCAATGCATCTGATGTCCGATTCTGACTTACAATATTACTAGATTTTTCAATATTGCCCGCACTTATTGCCACTCATTTTCACTTACAAACCACCCGGCTCACGGAGCCGGGTGGTTTTTACGCTCTCCCTATGCAGGCCGTAACTGTTAATTTATGCCGGAACCGTTAAAGTTTAACGTTAGGATTACAATGCTTTTGTTCATAATGTCATTATGAACAAACTAAGATTTCATTCAACCAATGAAATTGCCGCTTAGCAACTTAGGACGGTACTTAAAATGATCTTGAATATAAGTTTGAGGTCTTCTTAACTCTGGTTATATTTTAATTAAACATATTTTCAACTTAGTACAGTTAACGAAATTATTTTTTCTTCTGGTACTCGTAAAGCTCGTATCAGACTTCGTATTGAAAATTGAAGATTGAAAATTAAAGATTGGAATTCGAGTAATCAGAACAAAAGGGACTAAAACTTCTTTGTCCTGATTGGTCAAATTTCAATCTTGAATCTTGAATCTCAATCTTCAATGCGTGACTCACCCTGTATATATATATATAATATCAGGGTCTGTATATAAGTATATTACGTAATAAGACATATATACAATATTTATATTCTTATTTAGTATAACTTGTGACGTTGCCGTCTCACGTGCGTCCGTCGAATCCCTCTCCGTCCGCGAAAGCGCAGGCTAAAGGGCCGCGCCAGCCGAATAATTGCGAGAACCGTACCATTGTCTCCAGAGAGGCGTTATTAATCGAGATTTCGTGCTTAATTATATATATTAATTCCGTTTGTTATTTCTTTTGTCGTATGATCATTTGAGTTGGGAGCCTCATCGGAAGAAAGAGCGGAAAGTCGTTAAAGCGTCACGGAAAACACCATTGTCGATCCAGGACGACATCCGAGGGGCAAGGAGCCAGCGATCCGGGAAATCAAAAAGCATCTAACGTCTAGCTATGTCACGACGGGATCAGGACCCGCACACATGATATGCGACGCACGGGACAGCGAGAGAATCCTCGCGCAAGGACTCAGGCCCGTGTGGATCCGGTCCCCGTGGAGGGACTGCAATCATGCTCCCGATGTCATGGAACGGCCCCAGGAAAAAACCATCACGAGGGTTGCGGCGATACTTCCGGCCAAGCCGTTCGCCCTAGACCTCCCGACGGCCCCGCGGAAAGGGCCCCAGCGAATTATCCTGCGAAATACCGGGGGCGCGCGCACCCCCGATACGACCATGAGCGCGCCGCCCGCCGGCCACAGCGCGTGATAACGCGTGATTGGTCGCGATAATACGCACCCTGTGTGCGCAGCCCCGGCTGGCCCACAGGTATCGATTCTGGATCGCGACGATCCGGGATCAGACTGGCGTGAGCTCGCGTGCGAAGTAGCGGCGTATTAAATAGCGGCGATGTCGGAAGAACGAGAGCAAGCGATAGCGTGGCGGAAGCGAGCAGAGAGGATCCCGGCGATCGGACGAAAAGAGGATCGAGCCCGAGAGGACGACGTCGACCCAGGGGCCACTCCAGGAGAGTCGTAGAGCCGGTGAGGTTATCCTCCGCCAAATTAGCCACGCGCGATCGCGCCCGAAAATCGTTTCGTTCTGTCGTCGTCGCTGTGATTTCGTACTTTGGTGTACGGGCTAAGCCCGATTCTTTAATGTAGATTTTTGCGTCACGGCCACGTCGTCAAGCGATTCGAGCCCCGGAGCCTCGAGAGTATCGGTTTCCGCGGATCGAAATATTACATCGCGTTTTCATAACCGTGTGTCGTCTCTCTGGAGATTCGGATTCCGCATATTGTAATTGCGTTGATTCTCGCACGTTTAGCCTTTAAGTCTCGTTCGTGTCGTGTGTCGGTCGTTTGAGTGTGAATGTGACTCGCGTTAATTCGTTATATTACTTTTGTATTTCGTTTGCGAATCTCCGCGTTTAGAATTTGTGTGCACGTTCGGTGCAACTTTCTTTCGCGATTACGTCGCGAATTGAGGGAGTGTGAATCGCATAAATTCGAAGTGTGAAGTTTGTTGTACAGATTCGCGTTTCGATATTCAGAGCACATTTTGTGAGCGTTTTCTCGCGATTCTCGCCGGAATAGCGAGAGAATGTGTGTGCGAAGCGTTCGGTACTGCGTGTTACGTTGTTCGGATTCCAAGCATGTCCGCGTTGCGTTAATTGCCTGTTAGTCTTAAGTTGCGTAGTAATAGTTTAGCGATAGTAGCGGGCGATAAGGTCGCCGTTGACGGGGTGATATCGAAAATTGGAACGGATTCGCGCCCGAATTAAAGAAGAACGCAATAATCGACCTCTTCGCCGTGCGAGGCGTAATTCAAGCCGAACGAACATTCCGGCCGATTTATCGGGCCAGCTTCGGCGTATATTCCGGGGTTTCGCACCCCGCGTCTAACACCCAGCCTCGCAGCCGCGTTTCTTTTATCGCAGCCGAATATCCGCGCGGACTTTATCATTACTCTTCTCAAGGAGCTTCGGCTCCCTCTATTATAATAAATCTGTTATTTCTTTGTTTAATTATCGAGCCTATTATTTTCAATTGTGTCTGTCGCTCCATAT